ATCTGAGTGTGTTAGGAAACCTATCTGAGTGTTTGTGGAAACCTATCTGAGTGTGTGTGGAAACCTATCTGAGTGTGTGTGGAAACCTATCTGAGTGTGTGTGGAATTCTATCTGAGTGTGGAAACCTCAGCCACTGTATCCCTGCCAGCATCCCGTACAATTCTGGGAGTGAGTGAGTGAGTGGATACAAGCAAGGGCACCTGTCTCATTCAAGAATGACAAATTCTGGATATACAACACATTTGTTTGGGGTACATAAAGTAACAAATTATGGTTTTGCAAAATATAATAGCAAGGTACTATTTTGGTACTAAACTTTGCCGAACATTTACCTAATGATAGATAATATTAAACTGATGTGGAGCAAGGTGTTCATGTTACAGTATGTTTCTAAAGAAATACTATTATTGATCAGGGGCAGTAGGGTAGCCTTGAGGTTAAACCGGGTTCAATTCCCCACATGGGTACAATGTGTGAAGCCATTTCTGGTGTCCCCCTGCATATTGCTGGAATATTGCTAAAAGCAGAAAAGCAGCATATTATAACAATGGATAGATCACAAAGAGCTACAGACAAACTGACATATGTTTTGGCTGTGTTTGGTTGTTGTTGTTGTTGTTTACAAGATTTAGAAGCGTGTAGCTATCAGTGAACATCAGCACAATATAAACCTACACTTTATGCCTTCTGAAACTTTAGGTAAACAAACAGGCGATAACAGATTCGACCAACGTAAATGTGACAATTGAGATAAAACATCCCAAACATGATGACTTACCATTATCTGCTCAGCTAGCTATAGTTTTGTACACAGAAATAAAGATTCATGTGTGTACATGCTGACAAACTAAGCTGGAAACTAGAGATCAGCTATACAGATTGTAGATTGGATGAAACTGTTGTTTTATTAGAAATGACACATTCAAAAATCAAGATATTTTAGTTGCAGCTTTTACCATTTATTTGAAAATAATAATAGCACTTTGAAACAACTATTGCCTGACAATTTTTCACATGCGATAATTTGATCAGTCACTACTGAGGCCTCTCTCGTTCTTGCTACAGCAACTGTATCACTGACTGACTGACTGACTGAGTTTAGTCTTACGCCGCTTTTAGCAATATTCCAGCTATATCACGGCAGGGGACACCAGAAATGGGCTTAACACATTGTGCCCATGTGGGGAATCGAACCCGGGTCTTCGGCGTGACGAGCCAACGCTTTAACCACTAGGCTACCCCACCGCCCAGCAACTGAATCAATAAACTATGCAATCTGTGAAATTATCACCTGTGTTCGTCCACAACTGACTACGTGTGTTTCATGTACTGGTATTTCACATTGGTGTCATGTCTCGATGGTCAGCTGAGATGGGAGACAGCACACATATCTATGCCCATTATGTGCTAGGCTCTTTAAAAATCTATTAAAGGTCACATGCAACCAAAAAATCAAACATAATTAAAACACAATTATCACTTATTCATGGCATATAATATACATTGCTGGTTATGAAAAAACATATAAACAAAATTATAAGCGTACAATCGCAAATCAAAAGTGCAATATTGTGTACTTCGGTTTACTTCCCAAGAAACGAAGCAGCCGGGATACCGAACCCAGTCAGAGTGGGTGGGTGTGCACTCAAGTGTAACGGCTAGTTCATTTGCAGATGCCCTCACGGGTCATTGTGTGTGTATATATAGAGATGTTGGGTTTTGTAAATACATGCTCATTTTTTGTGTATAACATTTTGCAATCAACAGACATCATAACATGTCATGTGTTCAAGTATCACACCTGCCTGTCTGTGTAATTACATAATGTGACAGAGACCGAACTCGGGCCATAAATCAATGCCTTTTGTTTATGGTGTACAGCCTGATTGGTGTTAAGTTCAAATTGCATGTGGTCAGTGATAGCAGCTGTGTATTGAATATTGTCATTAGCAGACAGGCAGGCAGACACACAGGTGTCAATAAAACAAGACATTGAGTTTAGTCTGTGACAACGACATATCTACTGTATATCACAGTTGGAAATGCTGTCAACGCTAAATAATGGCATTGCTTTTAAGTATCGAACTGAGAAAGTGACTCGGTAAGAAGAACGTGTGGTGAAATAGACAAATGAAATTATATAAACAGTTAATTTACTGTCATAACATATAAAAAGCTCGCGCCTGTGAGATATCAACAAAACATTAGAAAAATAGCTCACACCAAAGCCTTCACCGAGTATTCACCGGACAACCGCTTCCAAGCTGCACGAACCTACTTCACTGCGCACGTGCTATAAGCGCAGCCCAGCTGTTGAAACCCGTTTTCCCCAGAAAAGTCGGGGGAAAATTAGTGAAACGTTTTAACTCCGATTTCGCGCTTTTTTTTTTCATCGCGTTATTTTTCAACTTTATAAGTTGAATTTGCATTTTTGACGATTTGTTTCGGTAAGTCCATACCGAAAGGTATCAGAATCTGCAAAGTTGTGTTTAAGTTGCATGTGACCTTTAAGTTAAATAACAATGAGCAATCTATCAATGTATTAGCAGCTAATCTTTGGAACAAAGTATGTTGTTTTTACATAGGAACTTATGGTGTATGGTATGGGTGTATTTCTTGTGCTTCAGTAAACCTAGATATGTAAACCTTACTTTTGACAAATGCACTGTGCAAGACAACAGTCATTAATAAATCAACATGTTATCAGTTGATCCTTTCATGGATGTTCTTGGCGACTCAACTGACTCACTTGCTGCCAAGTGCATATTACATAACATGTAATACATTCAACACATCAGACCTGGATTTATAATCCAATTTTAGATTAAATAATTACGAGGAATGTGAAGCATTGACTGCTAGGTACTCTGGACACCTTCAGAGGTGAGGTATTTTACATAGTTTGTGAGTGTTACCACAACCACTTAATACTTGTAACAAAGTATTAACTCTTATCATCAGCCATCTCGACTACTTCAACTCTCTTCTTGTCAACCTCCCTTAAAAGATACTATCACGTCTGAAAAGATTGATTACACGCAAGCGACGCACTGACCACATCACTCCAGTTCTGGAATCTCTCCATTGGTTGCCAGGACAACAGTGTATCTCCTATAAAATCCTGTTACTGACTCATCAATCCCTCTACATGGAAAACAGCCCTCTCTACCTTAAAGAGCTCATCAATATCTACAAGCCATCAAGACCTCTACACTCCTCTGATCAGTTCCTATTGTCCCAACCAGTATCCACAAGCAAAATGGGTAGCAGAGGCTTCTCCACTGTTGCACCTCAATTATGGAATGCTTTACCATCAGAACTCAAAGCCACCATCTGTGAATCCTCTTTTAAAAGCCTAATATAAACTTTTCTGTTCAGAACAGTTTTTCACTGCTTACAATATTTAACAATTTTCCCCTTTCACTCTACTGATGCCTACATATGCGCCAGTGAGCAGCTAGACAGATGGATACCAGGTGCTATACAAGTGAATTATTATTATTATCATTATTATAAAGTCATGATGGAGTAACAAGTGAATGATGACAAATCCACAGGCACAAGGCTTATATGATAAAATATGGATACCAGAAGGGAGTAGTAATTGTTCTATTAAATACAATTTGCAGGAAAAATAAGGGTTGTTCTTGTTTTGATTATATCAAGTGAACTTCAGTGTTGCAAAAATAATATGTACACATAACTGCTGTGTACTGAAGAACATAATTTTACATAGACATTTACACACATATATATGATTTTACATACACATTTACACACATATACGATTTTACATACATATATACGATTTACAAAGTGAAAGGTTTTAGTAAACATCATCTGTGAGGGTTCAGGATTATCCCTGGATGATGTCAATGAGGTCAAGTTTGTTGAATTACTGGCACACCTGGTATGTTGTTATAATTACAATGGTGCAAGCCAGACGACTCAGATTTGGAGTGTTGTTTGCCTATAATATTTATACTATAATACAAAATACATCATGCTTTTGACAATTTACCACCATTTCTATAAACTGTCATTTTGGTTTTGTTAAACAGTTAACCCCCATTTCTCACAATATTTACATAAAACATCGATTTTACATTGTCATTGTAAACATCAAATGGTGAGGAAACAATAGCAGAAGTAGTTCTTCATTAGTTTGATCACTGAAAATACCATGAGATCTTCTATCACAGTGCCTGAAAGTTCATAAAATGACACATCAGGCGAATTAATTCTGTGGCAAAATACACCTTACACTGGACAATGGTGAAACAAGGTGTCAAAAGGTCAAGTAATATTTCATCTGTCAACCAAATAGGCAAGGTTTAGAATTTGTCTTTGTTTCTGGGGATCAGTGACACCAACTCCCAAGCATTCTGAAACAGGGAAGTAATCTGGCTTCACTCTTCCACCCTCGGGGCTAGTTGTGTTAGAATGAGGGCAGGCTACACCCAAATGACAAAGTAATCAGATTAACCCTTTAGCCAAGCTAAAGTGAGTTCAATCCTCCATGTAGCCCTCACTAAAAATCCAGAAAAGTGTGTAGGGTAAAGTGCACTACTTCAAGTAAACAGATAACGGTGAACCATATATATAGTCGAGGATTGTTGTCATTGGTAAAATCTTCAACATCTGACAGAGAAGGCACTGAAGATTCACAATAATTCCATTCATTCATACAGAATATAAAATCCTTATCATGGCTATTACTTGCGTGTATATTTGGCGTCAAATTTCGATGACGATGATTTGGGTCTTTTACTCGCGCATTAAGAGCGTATTTCGCACACGGTCAAATTTCGAAATGACATTAGACTACAATATAAATAGTGAGATGTCCACCATACTTATGTTGTCATGTTTCAACACGACCGATGACCTCGGAGACCATGGTATGGCATTAACCGTCCCACACATGGTCACTTCCTGACAACCAAAACACTTGAATTTATTTTCAGAAGGGATGTTATAAAAAGGTATATTTCCTCACCAAGGCGTTCGCCATATTGACAACACACACAACTAAGACGATGTACCATCTTCTAGAGTACAGTGTGTATTCTGGCTGCATCAAGGGTCTGTAATGAATATCTGTAATCGTTCTAGACGAGAGTGACTGTCTGTCAGGATTGTGAGTGTCGCCCGCCATCTTGGACTGTCACGTGGTTACCACGAATCACATGACTCTGTATAGTGAGGGACTCGGCAACTTACGGGATCATATCTATGGACGAGGTTTCCTCAATAAAGGACACAAACGGATTAATTCAGTGGGTGGTTTCTTTTAAAGTTTGACTTAGTGTCTATCGATGTAATGAACAAATTGAAATCACTTATGGTAACATATCCATGCTACCCAATAGTTATTTCCTACAAAGGTATTCATGTAGGTTTTCGTACGATATGTATAAGATCAGAGACCATATTATATGGTCTCTGGTAAGATTGAAACAAATTGTTATTTTCGTCTCTAGAATTCGTCATTCTTTAATCAAAATATATTCCGGGGTAGTGAGTTTCTAATCCCATTAAGAATTCGCTTCATGTAACATGGCTTGCACAAATAATGTAAAATCATTAGATACCCTAGACCCAGACAGGGGCGGTGGGGTAGTCCAGTGGTTAAAGCATTGGCTCGTCACGCCGAAGGCCCGGGTTCAATTCCCCGCATGGTTACACTGTGTGAATCCCATTTCTGGTGTCTCCTGCCATGATATTGCTTGAATATTGCTAAAAAGCGGCGTAAAACCCAACTCACTCACTTAGTTTAGTTTTACGCCGCACTCAGCAATATTCCAGCTATACCAAGATAAGGAAAGCATTGGGACATGGTGGTATTAGTGAATCTGGCATTATCATGTCTGACACAATCAGATCTATGTAGACTATGTGTATTTGAAAATATGTAATCTAGTATCATCGAAACCAGAGACCATATACCGGTATATGGTCTCTGTCGAAACATACATTATTATTCCATATTTACTAAAAAGGTGCCCCAGTGAAATTTGAGATTCAGACACTTAACCCTGAACCAGGTGAACTAACTATAATTTGTCAGGCGCATTTGCACGAACCTCAGTTCCAACAGTAGTAACAGACCCGAAATTGCAAATGATCGTTTGCATTATTCTTCCTTACGTACACAGTGTACTTATCCGTGGCAACACACAAAAGTGCCGTGATTCCTTTGAGGGCAATTTTGACAGAAAGTGGGGCAAGACTTTATTTATGAAAACCAAAATAAACTATTTCAATGTGATGAATTTGTTTACAAGCAGCTTAATACAACCAATGGTATTAATGTGTAAAGTTCTCACCGTGGATTCCATTGAAAGTTTTTGGAGACAGCTGTGGTCTATGCCCGGCAGCCTCGAGGAACTATGGGTAGAGGAGCTTAATGATAGTGTACAGGACACAATAAGGTCGCCATTGTTGTATGTAATCACGCTTGATTGTCTGAAAAAAGTATTGAAATAGTCAAAACCTACTACTGCGCCAGGGCCTGATGGTATTCCACAGGTATCGAAACCTTGTGGCCGAACACATCTCATGGATACGGGCAATGTGCCGTACGTCGTGGCTGTGTAAAGGTCCAATAATATGGCAACAGCTGATTTGACTGATCCTAAAAACTATTTACTGGGTGTCTTACAGATCTTGTGTGGCCGTACTACACCTCCAGTGATATTATTAACTGGGTGTCTTACAGATCTTGTGTGGCCATACTGCACCTCCAGTGATACTATTTACTGGGTGTCTTACAGATCTTGTGTGGCCATACTGCATCTCCAGTGATACTATTTACTGGGTGTCTTACAGATCTTGTGTGGCCATACTACACCTCCAGTGATACTATTTACTGGGTGTCTGACAGATCTTGTGTGGCCATACTACACCTCCAGTGATACTATTTACTGGGTGTCTTACAGATCTTGTGTGGTCATACTGCACCTCCAGTGATACTATTTACTGGGTGTCTGACAGATCTTGTGTGGCCATACTACACCTCCAGTGATACTATTAACTGGGTGTCTGACAGATCTTGTGTGGCCATACTGCACCTCCAGTGATACTATTTACTGGGTGTCTTACAGATCTTGTGTGGCCATACTGCACCTCCAGTGATATTATTTACTGGGTGTCTGACAGATCTTGTGTGGCCATACTACACCTCCAGTGATATTATTAACTGGGTGTCTGACAGATCTTGTGTGGCCATACTGCACCTCCAGTGATACTATTTACTGGGTGTCTTACAGATCTTGTGTGGCCATACTGCATCTCCAGTGATACTATTTACTGGGTGTCTTACAGATCTTGTGTGGCCATACTACACCTCCAGTGATACTATTTACTGGGTGTCTGACAGATCTTGTGTGGCCATACTACACCTCCAGTGATACTATTTACTGGGTGTCTTACAGATCTTGTGTGGTCATACTGCACCTCCAGTGATACTTTTTACTGGGTGTCTTACAGATCTTGTGTGGCCATACTACACCTCCAGTGATACTATTAACTGGGTGTCTGACAGATCTTGTGTGGCCATACTGCACCTCCAGTGATACTATTTACTGGGTGTCTTACAGATCTTGTGTGGCCATACTGCACCTCCAGTGATATTATTTACTGGGTGTCTGACAGATCTTGTGTGGCCATACTACACCTCCAGTGATATTATTAACTGGGTGTCTGACAGATCTTGTGTGGCCATACTGTACCTCCAGTGATACTATTAACTGGGTGTCTTACAGATCTTGTGTGGTCATACTGCACCTCCAGTAATACTATTTACTGGGTGTCTTACAGATCTTGTGTGGCCATACTACACCTCCAGTGATACTATTTACTGGGTGTCTTACAGATCTTGTGTGGCCATACTGCACCTCCAGTGATACTATTTACTGGGTGTCTTACAGATCTTGTGTGGTCATACTGTACCTCCAGTGATACTATTTACTGGGTGTCTGACAGATCTTGTGTGGCCATACTGCACCTCCAGTGATACTATTCACTGGGTGTCTTACAGATCTTGTGTGGCCATACTGTACCTCCAGTGATACTATTTACTGGGTGTCTTACAGATCTTGTGTGGTCATACTGTACCTCCAGTGATACTATTTACTCGGTGTCTTACAGATCTTGCGTGGCCATACTACACCTCGAGTGAAACTTTTAAATGCGTAGATCAACCGGAGGGAAGTTTAACCAACGTACAATCACCATGGGCAATATATCTGATAGCCTGGTTATTATACTGGTGGAGATAAGTGAAAAGCACATGTCAAATCAGTCCTCTCAAACCACCACCTCTCCACAGTTCGTTAGCCATCTAATTCAGCTTGTCCAAAATCTCCAAATAGTATCCAGTGAGCTTGTACCAACGCCTTAGCCCTCACTGTGTAATCTGGATTTATTACATTACCTTTGTAGCACACAATCTGCGGCACATCACACCATAATATGTTTACCTTCCACACCTTGGCTGTAGTCAGTCCAGATTGATAGCAATGTAAGAATAACCCGAGTTGTTGTCCACTGACTTAAATCGTAAGTTTTCGTAAATGTGAACAAGTTGAGCTATTCAAGCGAGGCGGACATAAAATCCTCAAATGAAATATCAATGTCAGAGTGTTCTGAGCGTGCCACGGTGATCATATTTATAGATCGGAAAGTACAAGTAGCTATTTTTAGAACAATCAGCTTTTCCCAGAACTTCGATAACAAATACAGAACTGAAAGCAGTGGCTGTTTTGACAGCAAACAAAAGTGTAGAAACTACGATTAGGCCTTCAGTCCTGAGTCAGTTGTCTGTGCGAATATTTGCACCTGCACGAATAAGGTAGGTGTTGACTTACATTGTCTGTGGAATCTCTCACTACGCAATACACAAAGCTGCTCTTATGGTTTTTATGCTGGTTTCATGGTGGAGTATGGCTGGTTATACTTGAGTTTTTCTGGGTTCAGTTTCATGAAAAAAATAAAATTTCTGCAGTGGTCTACTTGATCTGTTATCAGATATAATAGTTCAATATTCACTCCCGGGCAATGGCGTTAGGCATGACAGACTTCGGTGGCGCTGGATGCACACCAATACAAACAGTTACTTGTTTGCCTTAACTTAAGTAAAATTTTCAGGTACTTATTACAGTAACTGTGTACTACACGAACTGTGTATGGTTGTTTGATAACAGGATGGCCACCAGCGACCAGGGAAGGGACACTCTAGGGTATCAGACGGAACTGATTCAGATGTGTAGGGAAACCTTTGAGAGATGTCTCGTCCCATCTACAGTCATGGATAACATGAACGTCGACCGTGAGTAACTCTGTCTAGCACCTTGCTACATGCAGTCAATCACCGAGTGATCTAGTCGTGTCACGGAACCAGGACGTCAGTCCAGGCTATGTCACTGGTCACGTGTGTAGCCTCGAGTGGCTGATAGCATGAACAGCGATCTGGGCATAGGGAAACGCAATCATCAGAGCCTCTCACTATAACCGTCCAATCTATATTTTCGTGTTTTATCCCCGCCATCACCTAGGGCCATAGAAAGATAGTGATGGTCAGTGAGTCTCGGGGTCAATGAGGAAGTGTGGCTTAACCCCTTCAGACTTCCCTGCCATCACCTAGGGCCATAGAAATATCGTGATGCTAAGTGAGTCTGGGGTTCGTGAGGAAGTGTGACTCTACCCCTTCAGACTTCCCCACCATCACCTAGGGCCATTGAAATATCGTGATGCTAAGTGAGTCCCGGGGACCGTGAGGAAGTGTGGCTCTGCCCCTTCTGACTTCCCCGCCATCACCTAGGGCCACTAAAATATCGAGATGCTAAGTGAGTTTTGGGTTCGTGAGGAAGTGTGGCTCTACCCCTTCAGACTTCCCCGCCATCACCTAGGGCCATAGAAATATCGTGATGCTAAGTGAGTCCCGGGGTTCGTGAAGAAGTGTGGCTCTACCCCTTCTGACTTCCCCACCATCACCTAGGGCTACTGAAATATCGTGATGCTAAGTGAGTCCCGGGGCCCGTGAGGAAGTGTGGCTCTACCCCTTCAGACTTCCCCGCCATCACCTAGGGCCATAAAAATATTGTGATGCTAAGTGAGTCTCAGGGTCCATGAGGAAGTGTGGCTCAACCCATTCAGACTTTCCTGCCATTACCTAGGTCCATAGAAATATCGTGATGCTAAGTGAGTCTCGGGGTCCATGAGGAAGTGTGGCTTTACCCATTCAGACTTCCCTGCCATCACGTTGGGCCATAGAAATATCGTGATGCTATGTGTGTCTCAGGGTTCGTGAGGAAGTGTGCCTCAACCCCCTTCATACGTCCCCGCCATCACCTAGGGCCATAGAAATATCGTGATGCTAAGTGGATCGGGGTTCGTGACGAAGTGTAGCTCTGCCCCTTCAGACGTCCCCGCCATCACCTAGGGCCATAGACATATCGTGATGCTAAGTGAGCCTCAGGGTTCGTGAGGAAGTGTGCCTCTACCGCTTCAGACTTCCCCGCCATCACTTAGGGCAATAGAAATATCGTGATGCTAAGTGAGTCTGGGGTTTGTGAGGAAGTGTGGCTCTACCCCTTCAGACTTCCCCGCCATCATCCTGGGCCATAGAAATATCGTGATGCTAAGTGAGTCTCAGGGTCCGTGAGGAAGTGTGCCTCTACCCCTTCAGACTTCACCGCCATCATCTTGGGCCACAAAAATATCGTGATGCTAAGTGAGTCTCGGGGTTTCGTGAAGAAGTGTGCCTCTACCCCCTTCATACGTCCCCGCCATCATCTTGGGCCATAGAAATATCGTGATGCTAAGTGAGTCTCGGGGTTCGTGAGGAAGTATGGCTCTACCCCTTCAGACGTCCCTGCCATCAACTACAGCCATAGAAATATCGTGATGATAAGTGAGCCTAAGGGTTCGTGAGGAAGTGTGCCTCTACCCCTTCAGACTTCCCCGCCATCACCTAGGGCAATTGAAATATCGTGACGCTAAGTGAGTCTGGGGTTTGTGAGGAAGTGTGGCTCTAGCCCTTCAGACTTCCCCACCATCACCTAGGGCCATAGAAATTTCGTGATGCTAAGTGAGTCTTGGGGTTCGTGAGGAAGTGTGGCTCTGCCGCTTCAGACTTCCCCGCCATCACCTAGGGCAATTGAAATATCGTGATGCTAAGTGAGTCTGGGATTCGTGAGGAAGTGTGGGTCTACCCCTTCAGACTTCCCCACCATCACCTAGGGCCACTGAAATATCGTGATGCAAAGTGAGTCCCGGGGTTCAGAGGAAGTGTGACTCTACCCCTTCAGACTTCCCGCCATCATCTTGGGCCATAGAAATATCTTGATGCTAAGTGAGTCTCAGGGTCCGTGAGGAAGTGTGCCTCTACCCCTTCAGACTTCACCGCCATCATCTTGGGTCATAGAAATATCGTGATACTAAGTGAGTCTCAGGGTCCGTGAGGAAGTGTTCCTCTACCCCCTTCATACGTCCCCGCCATCACCTAGGGCCATAGAAATATCTTGATGCTAAGTGAGTCTCGGGGTTGGCGAGGAAGTGTGGTTCTACCCCTTCAGACGTCCCCGCCATCAACTAGAGCCATAGAAATATCGTGATGCTAAGTGAGTCTCAGGGTCCGTGAGGAAGTGTGCCTCTACCCCTTCAGACTTCACCGCCATCATCTTGGGCCACAAAAATATCGTGATGCTAAGTGAGTCTCGGGGTTTCGTGAAGAAGTGTGCCTCTACCCCCTTCATACGTCCCCGCCATCATCTTGGGCCATAGAAATATCGTGATGCTAAGTGAGTCTCGGGGTTCGTGAGGAAGTATGGCTCTACCCCTTCAGACGTCCCTGCCATCAACTACAGCCATAGAAATATCGTGATGATAAAGTGAGCCTAAGGGTTAGGTGAGGAAGTGTGCCTCTACCCCTTCAGACTTCCCCGCCATCACCTAGGGCAATTGAAATATCGTGACGCTAAGTGAGTCTGGGGTTTGTGAGGAAGTGTGGCTCTAGCCCTTCAGACTTCCCCACCATCACCTAGGGCCATAGAAATTTCGTGATGCTAAGTGAGTCTTGGGGTTCGTGAGGAAGTGTGGCTCTGCCGCTTCAGACTTCCCCGCCATCACCTAGGGCACTTGAAATATCGTGATGCTAAGTGAGTCTGGGATTCGTGAGGAAGTGTGGGTCTACCCCTTCAGACTTCCCCACCATCACCTAGGGCCACTGAAATATCGTGATGCAAAGTGAGTCCCGGGGTTCAGAGGAAGTGTGACTCTACCCCTTCAGACTTCCCGCCATCATCTTGGGCCATAGAAATATCTTGATGCTAAGTGAGTCTCAGGGTCCGTGAGGAAGTGTGCCTCTACCCCTTCAGACTTCACCGCCATCATCTTGGGTCATAGAAATATCGTGATACTAAGTGAGTCTCAGGGTCCGTGAGGAAGTGTTCCTCTACCCCCTTCATACGTCCCCGCCATCACCTAGGGCCATAGAAATATCTTGATGCTAAGTGAGTCTCGGGGTTGGCGAGGAAGTGTGGTTCTACCCCTTCAGACGTCCCCGCCATCAACTAGAGCCATAGAAATATCGTGATGCTAAGTGTGTCTCAGGGTTAAGTGAGGAAGTGTGCCTCTACCCCCTTCAGACGTCCCCGCCATCACCTAGGGCCATAGAAATATCTTGATGCTAAGTGAGCCTCAGGGTTCCTGAGGAAGTGTGCCTCTACCCCTTCAGACTTCCCCGCCATCACCTAGGGCAATTGAAATATCGTGACGCTAAGTGAGTCTCGGGGTTTGTGAGGAAGTGTGGCTCTAGCCCTCCAGACTTCCCCACCATCACCTAGGGCCATAGAAATTTCGTGATGCTAAGTGAGTCTTGGGGTTCGTGAGGAAGTGTGGCTCTGCCGCTTCAGACTTCCCCACCATCACCTAGGGCCACTGAAATATCGTGATGCTAAGTGAGTCTGGGATTCGTGAGGAAGTGTGGGTCTACCCCTTCAGACGTCCCCACCATCAACTAGGGCCATAAAAATATCGTGATGCTAAGTGAGTCTCAGTGTTCGTGAGGAAGTGTGCCTTTACCCCTTCAGACTTCCCCGCCATGACCTAGGGCAATTGAAATATCGTGATGCTAAGTGAGTCTTGGGGTTTGTGAGGAAGTCTGCCTCTACCCCCTTCATACGTCCCCGCCATCATCTTCGGCCATAGAAATATCGTGATGCTAAGTGAGCCTCAGGGTTCGTGAGGAAGTGTGCCTCTACCGCTTCAGACTTCCCCGCCATCACGTTGGGCAATAGAAATATCGTGATGCTAAGTGAGTCTGGGGTTTGTGAGGAAGTGTGGGACTACCCCTTCAGACTTTCCTGCCATTACCTAGGTCCATAGAAATATCGTGATGCTAAGTGAGTCTCAGGGTCCATGAGGAAGTGTGGCTCAACCCATTCAGACTTTCCTGCCATTACCTAGGTCCATAGAAATATCGTGATGCTAAGTGAGTCTCGGGGTCCATGAGGAAGTGTGGCTTTACCCATTCAGACTTCCCTGCCATCACGTTGGGCCATATAAATATCGTGATGCTATGTGTGTCTCAGGGTTCGTGAGGAAGTGTGCCTCAACCCCTTCATCGTCCGCCATCACCTAGGGCCATAGAAATATCGTGATGCTAAGTGGATCGGGGTTTGGAGTGAAGTGTAGCTCTGCCCCTTCAGGCGTCCCGCCATCACCTAGGGCCATAGAAATATCGTGATGCTAAGTGAGCCTCAGGGTTAGAGTGAGGAAGTGTGCCTCTACAGCTTCAGACTTCCCGCCATCACTTAGGGCCATAGAAATATCGTGATGCTAAGTGAGTCTGGGGTTTGTGAGGAAGTGTGGCTCTACCCCTTCAGACTTCCCCGCCATCATCCTGGGCCATAGAAATTTCGTGATGCTAAGTGAGTCTCAGGGTCCGTGAGGAAGTGTGCCTCTACCCCTTCAGACTTCACGCCATCATCTTGGGCCACAAAAATATCGTGATGCTAAGTGAGTCTCGGGGTTTCGTGAAGAAGTGTGCCTCTACCCCCTTCATACGTCCCCGCCATCATCTTGGGCCATAGAAATATCGTGATGCTAAGTGAGTCTCGGGGTTCGTGAGGAAGTATGGCTCTACCCCTTCAGACGTCCCTGCCATCAACTACAGCCATAGAAATATTGTGATGATAAGTGAGCCTAAGGGTTCGTGAGGAAGTGTGCCTCTACCCCTTCAGACTTCCCCGCCATCACCTAGGGCAATTGAAATATCGTGACGCTAAGTGAGTCTGGGGTTTGTGAGGAAGTGTGGCTCTAGCCCTT